TAGTAAAGGCAAAAATGGAGAGTCCAGATTCATCGTGCCTTTGTGAACATTTCCGTGGAATTTCTCCTAAGAATAATGCACAATGATTAGATGTTACTAAGCCGTTGTGCTATCATGCATACCTGTCACATAACGTGGTTACTGCCCATAAATTACATACATTATCAATGGCCTTTCCATAGGGATACATGCCACAATTATTAATAAATTAATATGGATATCCTCAGTAATACTTTAGGTTATACCAGATAATAGAAGACTTTTGCTAAGTATCTAAATACAGACATGTTTGAACATAATTTCATTGTATAAGAACAATATATAGTATAACAATATACACATTCGGTATGCCTAGTATAAAAACAGTACATAAGGAGAAATATAAGTACTGATGTTGCATGTATTCAGCATTACCAATACTACTAAATACGGTATAATGAAAAATTTTACAAAAATACAATAATAATTTTACAATAGTAAGTTACAACGATAGCAGGATGAAAAACTGAATGAACTATTCAGAATATACTCTCAAGCAAGTGTATATTAACAATAGTGTGGCTTGAAATATATTGATTAGTTTATTAAGAGCACCTTTAGCCTCATTAAATGGAATGTCCGCTCTTTCCAGTATAATTCTGAAGGCTTGGACAGGTGGTGTCTCTTTGTAAACTCTCAGAAGAATGCGTAGTGGTCAGAATTGCCTTGTTGACCACACTCGCATGCATCGCTTCAGCAATCCCAAAACGTTGCAGGTACGTCGGGAATGGGCCGTTGTCAATGAGGAAGGTAGTTAGGGCTGATGAAAACGAACGATTGCGTCTGTGGAATAATAAAGTGACTAGTAAATCTACGTGAAACTAGAGCTTAACTGGTTCGGACAGGCAAAGCTCAATTAATTTACAACACTTACCAACCTTAGCAAAGGCAAGCCTTCACTTCTATTCTGATCAGCAGCTTTTCCTTCTGCAGGCAAGCAGCAGCGGTGGCAATAGGGTCGTCTCTTCTCCATTCACACCGATTATAATTCTCACTTGAACCTACGCGGGTTTCCATAAAATCTGGAAACGAGGCAAAAAAGAAAGCATCAACATAAGTTTAACTGTTAGTCAACTTAAATGAAATGTCACAAAATTATGTAGTAAGATTTCCTCAGCCCTCTCTATTGTCAAAGCAGCTCACTTTAACATAGTAGATTAAAAAACCTAAAGCAATAATACAAATTATTTGCTTATTCCATGTTGCTCGATACTCACAGCCATTGCAGAAAATTAGTTTGTAAACCAGTGTATCAGATATCAGGTAACACGTTTCCATTAACTACCATTAAATTTAAAATTCCACTGTTCAGTCAAAAAGAGGAAAACTTAGTTTTTAAATTTTGAAATCAGTAAAATGCCACAGAAATTATTTAATGAAAATTTAACCATAATCGTGGATTGTAATTCAGCTTTTTATTCTAGATCTAAAAGACTATTCTTCAATAGTTTCAATGACGTTTATTGATAGAGTAATTTAAACGAAGAATTGTTAACAGTAAGAAAGTTTCCATTATGAATAACACTTTAGGATAATCGGCTCATTATCTTTTTGTCTATACGTGTGAAAAGCAATAAGCTTTTATGCAGCCAGCTAATTCTTACTAGGAAGTCATACATGAAATATACGAGTCTATGTTTAGAGATTTTCATCATTTCCACTACTGTTGCGACCGCCCCTTTTGTAAAGTATCAATGCTGCAGTCGGTTATGCGTCCAATCTGGTAACCAGTAATTTAATGGGCACACTTTTATTAATGATGACATGGCTTTGTGAGGATAACTTCTTTACAATGATGATAGCTTTTGGAAATATCATATCGTGACTGACGTAATGCATTAAGATGTTTTTCAAGACCAATAAAAAATGATAAATACGAAAGAGGAGCTTATAAAAGCTTATTGCAAGATACTCTTGAGATAGTTTTTACTCAATCTGTTTTTCAATTTTGCTTTTGCTAATTAGAACTCGCATTTCTACTTACGTACTCAGTAAAGTGCTTCAAAATATCAATTGCCGCAGCAAATCAATCAGCGTTATCGTAAAATGTAATGATGGCCTGAAGCAAAACACAATGATTCTTCGATAATAGATTAAAACTATATGAAAGTAAAAATGATTAAACTATTACTATGTAGAGTCTAATGTTTTAGCTATCATCGAAAGTGTCTAAACTCTTAGCAGACGTTAAGTGAATTATTAAACAAAGTAGCAACTGAAACCTGGTGAAGCGTGTAAAAGACCCTTTATTAAAACTCAGAACTGAAAGCACACCTTCTGCTTACAAATCAGTTAACCACTTGTTATGGCGAGATAAGTTAACAAGAAGTCAAAATGTGAAATTTAAACTCTAATAAACTAGTAACCGAGGGCTGCACTATCACTTTACCGCGAAGTTAGCTCAAAACTTAGCAGGCGTGGAATTCAACTATCGGCAATAATAAAGCAAGGCTGATGAAACAAGAACTCTTATCTAAGATCGTGACCTAGTAACGTGGCAACGAGAGGCAAAAGACACTCTGTCTTACGAATTCAAAACACAAACTTTAAATAAACGCGAGCTAATTTGCATTCTAGCAGGAAAACGAAAAGGAAGAAGTGACATTACAAACACAAAACATAAAATAACTTGTAAATTAACATAAAGAAACCTCACAACTGTAGTGAAACATTATAAAGCTTGCGTGAAAAAATGAGATTAAGCTAATGTGCAAATTATTATAGCTTATAGTTTCGAAGTAGTCGTTTCATGATTTATGTCGGGATTATAAGAATATTCAATTAATAATAAAGAAAGAAAGAAATTAAATGTTCTCTATTGTAATTCTAAAGTAACCACACTATCAGCCAATATTTATACTGGTTTCAATATAAATTAAGCAACGCATTAGTAATAATGTGAAAGAAAGATGTACTCAAAAATTTAACCAACCTCATATTCATATTAAGTTTGACATATTAGGCTTAAAAATTATGATTGAAGGAATTACTAAGGATAAAGTAAAAGAATGAATGAGTTGCAGTTAAGAAAACAATATTAATTATTAAATTTTCATCATTTCAAGAGCATATTAAATATATATTTCTAGATTATAGTGTCCGATTATAGTAATATTTCTATAATATAGTTAGTATCACAAATACTAAATGTGCATGACTGAACTTTTTAACGAATACTGCGCAATATTTCACTGTCTTTGCGTCTTACAAGCAACTTAATATCAACCTAAAGACCGGTGAGAAAAATTAGACCATTAAGAAAAATTTACATTAATTTGGCCTATGGTACCTCAAGAGTATTACATAATTACAAAAGCGGCACACAAAGTGTATTACATAATTACAAAAATATGAAAAATGCAGTTTTTGTTTCTTGTTGTATTTTAACTCTTCTGGCTTTTAGTAATATAGAAAAATAATATTTAAAACTATCTTGTGTCTGCGAATTGATGATATGAACTCTGCTGTAAACCATTCGTGTAAATGTTCTAGAACATTTTTTAAACTTTTGGTAAGTCATAAGAGAATATTTGCCAACACACTACTCGCCAAGAACTAAGAAACAAGTGTATTCGATTACAAAAAAATCAGGTAAAAATCTTTAATCATTAAACAAGATTTAAACTTGAATACTGAAAGATTTGGGAAAATTTTAATTAAGCATTAATATTAAAAAAAGTGATTGAAATACTTTATAATGTAATTACTGACAGATAATTTTATGAAATATCTTCGAATTCTGTATTAGTCGCGATACTTTCTTGCTATTTATGATGCCTCCTATATCGTCTTTAATAATCGAATTGTATCCACTGTTATGAACACAGCACCACTTACTTGCAAAGGGAAAACGTTAAGTTTCCGTTGTAAAATTTTCACGATATATGCAAAAGTTATTTTAGTTTAAGTAAAAAGGTTATGTTTATTACACTAACAAAGGCAACAAAATTTATTTCAGACATTTGTAATGAAAGTAAGCTGAGTAAAGTTGTTCGCTGATTATTATAATTATTATTTTCGTAATGCTTAAGGCACTCTCAAATTGCCGTGAGTTCTTATGCTTCCAGTTTTTTAGAAATCTAAAATATCGATGAGGATTTAAGCTAGGATTGAATATCACCTAACTACGATTAATTAGTTGATTTTTTTTTCCTTCCTCATACATTTTGTTTTAATTTAGGCCATAATACTGTTAAAACACATTTTTATATTTAGTTTTAAGCAGAAAATTTTTAGCTTGAAGATCTTTCCTTCTTTTAGAATTAAAGTAGATTTCGTTCGAAACTCCTTCATTACAATAGAAACATACTAAGAAAATAAAAGACATTATTAAGAAATATGATGCTTTTTTCATTACACTGAAAACACTGGTTAAAGTGACAAAGAGCAAACAATAAGAAGAGGCGAATTGCCTCCTTATCAGGAATGAATAACACTGAAGCTCTTACAGATAATCATTTCTTATTTAAAATTATTGATAATATCACCTGCAAAATGCAAAGCTCACTTTCTAAAATAGCATATTTATTCACATCTGATAAGTGAATGCTTTATAACGTCTAACCATTTCTTTTCAAACGCATTTTCTATTTTCATTTATACAATGCTATTATAGATAACAATAGGCATTTTATTTCGAAGCAGGAGACGTGAATAATAAAATAATATGCAATGACGCCAACGCCGGACATCCTGACTGTTAGCTGGATGTGCTTTCTAATTACACCAAGAAGTCACGCAATAAGGAGGAAGGAAAATCTTACACAGTTACGAAAAGAAGAAAAACAATAATCGTATACAAGCTAGAATTTCTTTAAAGAAATCATAACAAAAATGTAAAATTGTTCGACTGTTTATTTTTTGCAACTTATCATTTAAGCAGTTTTTTTTTTTTTTTTTTTTCTGAAAACTGATTTTGTAAATTTTAATGATACGTAATCATTTTTCTAACACCATCGTAGTGCCTTTTTCTCTTCCTCCAGGTCTTCCCCCTGTGGCTCCAAGGAGGATCGGGCACCCGTACCAGAACAGAACGCCCCCAAAACGTAAAAAACCGAGGACTTCTTTCACGCGAATGCAAATATGCGAGCTTGAAAAGCGATTTCATAAGCAAAAGTACCTAGCTTCTGCAGAAAGAGCTGCCCTGGCCAAACAACTCAAAATGACCGATGCCCAAGTCAAGACATGGTTTCAGAACAGGAGAACAAAATGGCGGTAAGAATTTTAAAATTAATATTTCAGTAAGGTGAGCATATTGATAGCAGTGTAATTGTACACTGTGACACTTGTTATTCTAATCCTTAAATTATATTTCTTTTCTCTTTGGAGCTTTTCTTACTCATCATGAAAGCCTAGCGAAAAAAATCTTTCTATTTAAATCAACCAATACACTCTAAATATTATGCATATATAGAGAGAGAAATTCCATGGCCTACAAACTTTATATCCTTTACTATTAATATACACCTTCACTTAAAAATGTGCTCTAAACAATATAAGGAATTTTATGCGAACAGATTCAGTAATGGAAAGAGAAAGGCTTTGAAGAAATAGATGTAACTTTTTATATGCTTCCCGTAGGAAAAAAAAGCACACGTTAGAAAAATTTTTCTTTTTCTGTAATAAGATAAATCGGAAAAGTTCCGCACATTTGAGCGAAATATTAAGATTTAATAAAATAATTATTTATCGGGTAAAGCGACAAAATTAAATAAATAGTGCAATTTTATTAAATATGGTTTCATTAAGCTTCCTTTGTTTAGTAGTTGTTCCCTGAGGTTTAGGAACAATTTAAAGGAACTTTTAGATATTTCCCCGACACTTTCAATTTAATGCATTCATTGGAGGAATTTAATTTTAATTCAAAAATTATTTATATAGGCAACTTATCTTCTGATATCTTTATGAATTTTGTTCGCAAAGGTAGAGAACTTTTCATGTTCAGCTTATTAAAACATAAGGAACATTTTTCTAACTGGACGTTTTGCTCCATAGGGATCATTTAAAAAAGTAAATTTAGTATTTTCAGAATCAGTCTATCCGACATTGCTGGAATTTTTTTAAATAAAATTCTGTATCTGTCGCTCTGGACGGTACAGTGGTTGGCCGAGACTGCCTTACTAGTCCGAATCCAGCGCTAGTTCGACTCCCGCATAAGGCTTGGCTGATTGTGCTTTTCTCCTTTCTCACGAGCCTACCATCTGCGGGGCGTACTGAAGAACATTCTCCTCATCACACGAGGGAAAAAGAAAAAAAAAAAAAAGACCGATTAAGCTATTTTCAGCTAATTTGCCTTCAAGTAAGGGAATGAGGTGGCGCCACGGGGTGAGGATTCTCTATCAGATTTAGAGAAATTTTATGACTGGAAGCTTTTTTGTCAGAGTTACAGTTTTGAAACTGATTTAAAGAAATTATTGATACGATCTGAAAATCAATCTTCCTTATCACTTTGTTTGGTAGAAAAGGTGTATATCACCTTCAGATCCCTTCTAAGTGAATTATTATGTTTTCATTAATTCACTTGTAAGGTAAAGCTCATTTTATGTTAAATAAAGTGCAAAAATTTTAGTCTCATTTTCTTTAATGAATGATTCCTCAAAATAAGTCATTTTGATAAAACAAATTTGAGTATTTTATACAGAATAATGTTTTTCGAGCCCTTCAAAAACAATTACCGAACCGTTCGATAATCCTAAACTGAGTTTATACATTTTTGAAAAATGTCGAATAATTACGCAAGCTCTTGAAGTCATTCATCATTGTGAAATTGCCTGACTTAGACCACAAAATCAGCTTTTACTGCGGTAGTTTCACAATTGTACAAAGACATACCTTTTAATCACATATCCACTTTTACACATACAAATTTTAAAAGAATGAAAATTAGTAGCTAAGGAAATAAAACCTGTAGCCCCCTTTCACAGGCATGCTATGTGTGTACATATACTTAAGTTAGAAACGGCATATCAACATCTTGAAATTCACGGAAGAAAGCTTTTGTTGTTATGGCTAATTCTCCTTATCTAATCATAGTCTAGAACACGTCCTTCGCCAAGAGTGAAAAGGTTGCGTCTGTTAGTTGGCTATGACCTTGGAAACTTTATAGGCACGAAACGAGACCACATAAGCTTAGTCCCATTTTTGATAGAGCTTACAGAAAATGGATACCTTGGATTTCCTGATCTTCCTCCCCTACCATTAACCAGCCGATAGTATTTTAACTGCGCAAAGGTACAATGTATATTTCCAAATCTCCTTGTCTCTCCCCCCCGTACCTAAATTTGTGTCCAATGACATGACAATCGGCACTGCTGACCACCATACAGAGTAATGCAACACAGAAAAAAATGAACCGAAGTTCAAATTACTGAGAAAGTCAGAAAAGATAATTTCATGAGTTGCAAACGTACTACATCTTATTAGCCATCAACCTGAAATATAGTATGGGCCTTTCTTTTAAATTTCGAAAACTCTTTTTAATAAAATTTCAAATTTGTTCAACTATTAATAAAATTTTTAATTTTGTTAATTGAGACATATCCGACAACACATTTCTATCTCTTAAGTATAATGCTGAGTAGTAAAAAGGGAAAACAAGTGTGCATTCTTTGACAAAGATTCTTTGGGCCGTTTCTGAAACCTTCCTTCTCATCACCTTCTGATTCTTCGTCGCATCATGTTCTCGCGTCAACATTTTCTTCCAAGATTCATAGTTTTCCTATATCAATAGTTCTCAGTCTTTTTTTTTCCTTTCGCGTACACCTTAATAAGATTTAGATTAATTATTATAATGCTATCCTCTCTAGAGTGTAGCCATAACCCTCTTTAGACCTAAGACCCCATCCAGTATTTCCGCAATATATCTTAATATTATTTTAATATAAAATTAGTAAACTGCAATGAATAAGGTCAAAAAATATAATCAATAAGTTTTTTTTTCAAAGAGTTTCAGTTTTGAAACTGATTTAAAGAAATTATTGAAAAGATCTGAAAAATCAATCGTCCTTCTCACTTTGTTTGGCAGAACAAGGTGTACACCATCTTTAGAGCCCTTCTAAGTGAATTATTATGCTTTCATTAATTCACTTGTAAGGTAAAGCTCATTTTATGATACGTAAAGTGCAAGAATTTGAGTCTGTTTTTTTTTAATGAATGATTCCTCAAAATCAGTCATTTTGATAAAACAAATTTGGATATTTTATACGGAATAACTTTTTTCGAGCCCTTTGAAAACAGTTACGGAACTCGTTCGATAATCTTAAACTGAGTTTTTACATTTTTGAAAAAAAACGCAAGCTCTTGAAGTCATTCATCATTGTGAAATTGCCTGACTTAGACCATAAAATTAGCTTTTACTGCGGTAATTTTTACAACTGTACAATGACATACTTTTTAATCACAGATCCATTTTTACACATACAAATTTTAAAAGAATAAAAATTAGTTTAAAACAAAGTTCCACATTCAGACTTGTTTGAATATCAAAATTATAAAGAAACGGAACTATGTAACTGACGTATGATTCAACCAATATTGAAAACATGGTTAACTATCAGTTCTTTTCGATGATATGAAATATTAGTATAGGGAAGGTTAGGTACATGTGATCGGTAAGAACTCGAATAATAATATGTGATGATGGGGGCCAGTTACGACTAATAACATCCTTCTATACAGATTTTGGTCAGTAACGGTCACATCGAAAATCCTCGCAGTTGTTTTCCCTTTTATTCAATAACAAAATATTTTATTCAATGACAAATAAACTTACTGAATATTTTCCTTTTCATCGGCATTTATTGTAATAATTAGTAATTTCCTACTATTATTGATATATGTTTCACGTATCCCTGAGTAAGCCCTCCCGCACCTCCAGGAATACGCGTATTACAGGTTGAACCCTATTAATTCACCGTCGGTGCTGATATATTAAGAAACTCTGATGTATGGAGGATTTTCCACATCTTTTCCAATGTCACTGACAATTTTCAACTTAAGAATCTTACTATGAATCTTTGAATTCGATACTTTTCAACCTTGTTATGAAAAATAAGAATAAGGCAAGTATTCGTCATCCATAATTTATACTAGTATATGATTATTTTTAGCAACACATTAATTAGCTTAGTGGGAAAGAAAGTATATGGAAATAATAGTGCATCTAGTAAGCAAAATCACCAGAAGCCTTATACGGATGTTTAAAATAGTAAATGACTCAAAGCTTTATTTTCTTAAATATTGGTTCCAAACATGCACTCCAGATAAAACATTTCTCAAAAGAAAGCACGGAAAATTTTATATAAACAGTTTTAGAATTAGAACTGAAAGGCTTTGTGAATACGTAATTTAACTTTACTTATTTACAAATGCTTGGTTTTTGGCCAAAAGGTAAGCCAGTAACTCTTTTATCTCCCAATACTTCTGGACTACAGAATTAAAACCATTAATGCAGAACACATATTTCAGTATTCAAGTTTAACCTTTATATAGTTTTAGTAACAAAGATATAGCAGTTAAGATAATCCACAGCGGTATATTTATAGCAGTTTAAGATAAAATTAAAAACGAGTTGTACTTTTTTTAAAGTTGAATCCCTTAACATTTTTATATAGTTTCTGCCTACATCTGAATGAAAAGTATTCATATTTGTTTGGGGATATGTGTTGAAACGTTCTCCTATACTGTGCGAATTCTTCACATAAAGGAATTCTTCACACATTCTGAACTTCTTGTACCAATTGTTCACACATTCTGAACTTCTTGTACGAATTGTTCACACATTCTGAACTTCTTGTATTTAATTTTTGAAGGCACAGTATACATTTTGCTTGCTAAATTATTTTTCTACGTACTCCATAAAAAATTACATTTTGTATTTATGAAATCCTCCTAGTGCTGAAATTGTTTCCGATACGGAAATAATTTCAGCACTAGGAGGCTAGGCAGCACTAGGCACTAGCTTAATAGTTTCAGAACTAGGCACTAGCTGAATAGTTTCAGCACTAGGCACTAGCTGAATAAGGTTTTTATCGTCATAAAGTAGAACATATTATCCTCTTTACGGAAACTGTTTTCATAAAATTTTCTGTTTCAGTTTAAGAAACTTTGTAGTTGGAAATAAATTTCTTATTTAGTATTTAAGGAAATAAAAAATGTAACCAGTTGTCTTGAATACCCTGCATAACACACAAGTAATATGCTCAATATTTTTGCTT